TTCCTGACCACCGATCACGACTGTAGAACACAAGAACTGTTAATATTCCAAAATGAGCTCTTAGAACTCAGAGGCATGTTATCAAAGTCAAGGCCTTTGATTTCTAAGAACCAGGGAACATCATAAATCAGCTACCATTTTCTAGCCTAAGTCTGGATTTACTGACGGGGATCTGTTGCACCCCGTTCTGGTGAGTGGGACCCCAGGGGCGCCGACACGGTGTTGGCCACTCAGAAGGTGCTTCGTGGGGAGGCTGGCTTCTCTCCCCTCTTGGGAGTCAGCAGCAGTTGTGAAGAAGAGAGAGGAAGAGGCTGGGGGCAGAGCTCAGGTGGAAAGAGAGACAGTTGGGGAAAGGTCCTCACAGGACGGCACCCGTGTACGTGCGCACACACTGAACCACACGCACCCCCTGCCTGGGACCCTTCCTTCAGAGACTTCTACTGCAACGCTCAGCCTTTCCCTGCCTTCGAATCTTGCGAAGGGCAGGAAGAAGCAAGCAGAGATTCCGTCACTGCAATGTGGCGCGTCTAAACCCCGTGGTCTCCCTTTCAGGTGCCACTGGCCCAGGGTGTTGGCGGTCACAGTGCACGACTTCACGCATGCCCACTGATTCCTAATGCCACTTCCAACTCGGGCCAACAGCTTTGCTATTCTACACACTAGCCATGAACTTAACTTCGATCTTGACCTACAAGCAGTGGTACAATGTGACCATATTACATATCAGCCCCCCAAAATTACATAAATAGATGAAACCCCTATATTATTAAGAAATGGCAAGGCACTAGGTCCTCTGAATATAGCTTTAAGTGTAACAGTTATCACATTAGGTGGTAATTTCCACATTTACATGTCTGTCTCCCTCACTAGACCCTGAGTATTTTAAGTGTCAGGATCATCTGGTTGGGAAAGCAGGGCAATGCCTGATACATTATTCAGCTAATATTTGACAAATACGTGAATAAATGTGCATATGTCCAGGGACAACGTGGCTAAAAGCCCAGATTCAGAGGTCAGACCACCTGCATTCCAACCCCAGCTCTGTCCCGAGTAGCTGTATGACCTTGGACAAATTGCTTGATCTCTCTCTCGAGTCTTCAGATTCCTCATCCGTAACGTGTTGCAATAATCATATACACTTCCTAGAATGCAGACCACCGTGCCTGACACCCAGGAAGTGCTCGATAAATACTGTTATTGAAATGGAAATACGTGGCCACTATAGCTACCGAAAGACTCCAAGCATTTAGCCGGTTTGATCCCCAACTTTAGTCGGGAAAACCCTGTTTTGTAAGCCTTCATCCCATAAGCTGAAACATGACTCAATGGCCTTGCCGAACGTGAAGGAGTTCCAGACGCAGGTGGTGGTGCGTGGCTGTTTCCTGTCTCCTCCGAGGACCGGCCGAGAGTCTTAAAGAGCCACGGGAGTGATTTGGGTGTGAAGTATTAGGAAGAGCCTTCTCACGTTGGAGGGCGTGAACCTCTAGGCCGGAGCCTCCGGGGAAGCCACGGAATCCCCCCTCTCTCGAGATCCGTTAAAAATGGGATGCTCAGCCGGCTCTCTCGAAGGTGGTCAGAGACCAGGAGAGCATCTCACATTAATAGCACAAGCAGCTCGCCCAGGTCAGCCACGCTTGAGTCACAGTGCGGCTGACCTAGTTCTAGCGAAATACTTTTAAATATTACCCGGAGGTAGATGTGCAAAGGAAGAAAGCATGGAAAGCAGATGCCCCTCCTGCGCGAGCCTGTAATGAAACATTTAATATGCTGCTAGTCCCCATTCGACACGACATTCATTCAGTCTCGTTAGGAAACGCTCTCTGAAGGCCCTGAACGGACGGCCTAGTGTGACTGCTTCCAGGGAGCAGCGGTGACCTTGCGGCCGTGCCTGGAGGCGACCCCAGGGGAGCACCCAGCTGACACCCTACTGCTGCGTGCCAGTCAGCCGCCTGCAGTTGCCGGCGTCGGCTGGCGAACTCAAGTGGGGGAAAGGCAATTCCGTGCCACTGTCTGTGCAGGGCACGTGTCCCGGAAACTCCCGTGAGTCCGAGACCCAAATTACACACCTATTATTATTCCTTTCAAGCAGAAGAGTGTTTTGCATATTTCCTCTTGGGAAGAAAATATCCTGGTTTTTCGTGAAGAAGCAGATGCTGTCGCTTGCTCTTCCCCTTGGTTGCTCAGAGGAAGAGACCAAAGAGAGAGGAGATTTCAAGAGGGGGGAAGCCAGCAGAAGCTTTGATCCGGAGCGACCTGAGGCTCAGGCGAAGGCGGAGAGGGGAGAGCACGCAGCGTCGGGGACGGAGGACTCTCGGCCTGTTTGCCGTTTGCAGATTAGACAGAAGGCTGGAGTGGCTGTACGTGATAAAAACTCTTAAATGGAATTTAAGGGTTTGTTCCCCTCCAAATTACTGAACATTAAGTTTAAGTGTTTTCATATAAATATTAAATTGTACGTATATAGCAGAATCGCAAATTCTCACGTTACCACTCCATTTTTTTAAGGAAAATGTCCCTTAAAAAAACCTTTATTTCACCTCTATAATAAACGTTCACCTTTATTTCCTCACGCTATTCTTCCTCCAAGACCACACCCCAGCGAGGAGCAGGGACAAATCAAAACAGACTTTCCCCTCACTAATCTCTGTCTCTTCCCCTTTTAAACTGTGTCTTTCAGTAATTTTTTTCTTAAGAGAGAATTCTATTGCTTCTCTTTTTCCAAAATGGCTCATGGTGGAGGGCCGATAGAGTGGGCCCTGTTCTTTTTGGGTGACTGGTCCGGCCCCACCCTGACCCGGAGTCGGCTGGGGGCCCTGGGGCGCCTGGGACCCTTGGGGACACTGCACAACCGATCATCCCCTACAGGAGCCCGCATGCACCAGGCCGCAGGGAGCTGAGGCCCTGCCTCAGTTCCCGTCATCCCCAAGGCCAAGCTGCCAGGGCCCCAAGCCGCCCTGAACGGGAGATGCTGAGCCCGGGCAGCTTCTCCTCGAGCTCGCAGCCTGTCGCAAGCACTGGACAAGGGACGGCGCCAGGAACCCCGGGCTCTCGGGCCCCCACTTTTAACAGCAGATGTCCACCGTGTCCCGCTCTCCTGCCCACTTTCCGTCTCACAAAGAAAGAAAAGAATATTTCCCTCTTACAGCTGCACTTGCTTTGTTTTAGCACAACTGGCTCTAACCAGCAGAAGCCGTAAAATGACCATGACCTTCGGCAACCTCATCCGCATCAGCACCACTAAGAAAAGCTAATAAACCGCCGAGGCCCCTGCATGACCCTGGGTCGTCAGGCCCTTACTGGACCCAGCGGAGGGTTCTCTCCCGGCCACCGAACAACAGGGCCCGTTTCAATCAGCCACAGGCGGATGAGCGGGGGCGTCTGACGCGGCCACAGTACAAGCCCAAGATCGGGAATCAGCACACATACCCCGACATCCGCCCTTTCTAGCGTATGAAACCCCTGGCTTCCCCCTCGGCAGATTTGTTCCCTTTGCCTGAGAAGTAACTGAGTTCAGTGCCAGCTTTGCTTACTTACACTCCAGTCCCTGCTTTTCCATTTATCACCCCGACGGGAGGAGAAAGGGGGGACACAGGCACCCGACATCTTGGCCCTTCTCTTGGGTCCCCACTCTCCTCCTCGAAAGCGCTTCTTTCCGTGGGTCAGGACCACCCACTGCATCACTGTTCCCCGGGTCCCTAAGCCACAGACCTAGCACTGATTGGGGCAGGTGGGATACAGGAAGAGAAACCAGCTTAGTAATAAGGACGCACAGTGAGTAGTTTTTAAATATTATTCCCATGATACAGCTACATCGAGAATGAAAAATCCACAGTTTAATCTGGTAGGCAACAAGACAGCCAAGATTTAACTTATTGAGTACACATGGATAATTATTTAAAAAACACACACGAGTACAGTGCTTAGCATGTACCAGATACTGTTCCATGAGCCTGACCCACTGAATTCCTGCAGGGTCCCCCTGCGGTGGGTACTATTGTAATTATCATGCTCGTGTCACAGGTGAGAAGCACGGGGAAGTCAGGTAGGCGTGGCCCAGGCTATAAGGCAAACTGTGCATGAGCCAGGGTTCAAGTCCAAGCGTCTGACTCTGCGGAAGCCGCCCACTCCTGCCACAGTTCCGCCCCTGGGTGCCGGCACACCACCCCGAAGAGGCAGCCCTCTCGTCAGGAAGAAGGGGACAGCATTTAGCAAGGCCCTTCTGGCTGCCAAACCCTGAGGTGTGCACCCCCTCATTTATTCTGAAAGAAGAGCAGACGTCTCAGAAGACAGAATATGCAAGGGTGAATTCATGAAGCGACTCCTTTCCTCGAAGGAGCTTTCGTTCCTATTTTCCCAACTGAAAGTACTGAGGACATCGGCGCAGCCTTGGAGGGTCAGGAGATCAGGGCCCAGACTGCCGTCAGCAGAGGGCTCTGTCCAGCCCTGCACACCCTTTCCCACGGCGAAACTGTCGCTAGCAAGGACTTCAGGGAGGACGCCGTGGAATGTGCCACAGACAAGCATTGGCTGTAAAATTCCCAGGTTGAATCGCTGCCGACAGTGGAACGGTAGCGCGCTGGAGTACAAAACCTGTACACACCGTCACACGCACAAAAAACAATGTTCTTTGGGCGGCGGAGTGATTCTCCGCCAATCTGACAAACAGCACCAGTCCGTTCTATTTTGGGTCTAAGAGAAAAAGAACGGAAATCTCCAAAATGTCCCCCTCCTCCCTCTGTCTCCAGCGACTCCCCCCCCGCCCCCGAACATGGACTTGCAAAGGTCTGGAGCAGGGAGCGGGGGGTACACAATGTCACGCACCCCCTCCCCTTCTCTCTCGGGGAAGGGGTGAATTTTTAGAAAATGTTTTCCATCATTTATTTGACTGATGTTCCATCCATCTGCACCATTAGGTTCAGTAGTTGCCATGACAATATGATGCCTACGGCAATCTAACTTGATAGCCAGATGCCAGAATGTGAAAAAATAGGACCAGCTAGGAAAGTGAGAGAAATATAATTAATCTGAACCGCCTAAAAATGGGCACGAAAGGAGGACCAACAGGGAAACTGCTGAAATGCCACTGAAAAGGGAATGATGACAAGAAGAATCAAGTTTTCGTGTAAAAACGTTTGCTAAGGACAGCCATGGATTGCTGGTCGGTAACTGAACCTGAGGGAGAAGTCAGGTGAGGCCGGGAGATGGCTCAGACAGCCCTGCCCCAGAGTTCCTGCTGCAGGGCCCACTGGGGTCCGTGGTGGTGTCCCCCGGCCCCGACTGGTCTGGGGATCTGAAGCCACCACCCTCTAAGCTGCCCCATGGGTGGCAGCTGCTCCCTGCTCCCCTCCCGTCTGCGACCATGCCCAGCTTTTCCATCTGACGGAGCCATTTCTGTCGTGTGAAGCTGATCTTAAGAGACTGGACGGAATTGGACCCTGCGGGACCCTGTCCCTTGGCCTTCTCCATGCCCAGTGGAGGCACCAGGCCGGCACAACCCTCCTGGGGCCCTGACGCGGTAGAGGGGCTGGGAGGTGAAGAACGGATGGGTGGTCGCTCCTCAGGGCTGGGTCGGGTAGCGGCGCTGCGCGAGGCGATGTGGCCGGCTCGCACTCAGAGCCGTGGGGAGCTGGAAGAGAACCAAGGTCACGCTGGATTAGAGCCCCGCGTGTGACTCCTCCCAGGGCTGACGGGTTGGGCCGAGCTGAGCGTCTAGAATGTTCCAGCTGCATCTGGCTCCCCAGTGCGATGTTCTAACGACCGACGTCCACCCAGCACCTTGACCTCTTAAATACGGCAAAACAAATTCGGTTTTATAAACAGGGGGTGCCCAGGGACATAGTAGAGCCATCGGTGTCCCCAGATCACTGCAGAGCAGGGAGTTTGGCCTTTTCCAATGTTGGCAAAGGATCCCCTCACCCCGGGACACAGCAATGGTGCAAGGTCTCTGGTGATGTCACCACCACTTGTGTCCCCTGGGTCTTGAGGTGTATGAAAGGTCAGTGTTGACAACGGCAGCACTGACTGACCCTCCTCTGTGTGCCAGGCCCTACACACACGTACATGCTCCTACTGAACCCCCACAACCACTCGGAGAGGTAGCCACCACTCAGCCCATTTTACAGATGCAAAAACCGACACTTAGAAAGGGCGAGCTGTTGCTCGAGAAGCAACAGCTGTTGCTGCACCAAGCTGTTGTCGCACCGCAAGTGGTCCACTAGGGCTGTGAACCCGGATCTCCAACCTGCGCTGACCCCTGCCCCACGGGGCCGCCTTACCTGGGGGACCTGAGATGGGTTGTAGAGAGGAACTGCCCCTTTCATGGGGGGCGGGGGGGGCAGGGCACCAGGGCTGAAGTAGTGCTCGGAGGAAACGCCCTGCGACGGAGAATAACAGAAAAATCAGTCACTGGATGCCAGAGCACCAGGGGGGTCCCTGAGGGTCAACGTTGGTCAGGAGAGGCCGATGGGAAGGCTCCTGGATAGAACTCAGGGAATCTCGAGCAAACAAACACGGTTCCAGTGGGCACAGCCAGCCCTCAGGTGTGAGGTGGCACTGTGGAGGCTCAGGTACAGCTGTACCTGGAGCCCAGGAGGAGAAAAGGCCACAGTAAGTGGTACTGATAGGATCGTGAAAAGTAGCATTTTCTTTGAAAGGCCTACAGAACCCTAAGAGTGCTCTAACCAGGCCACAGGAAGTAAAAGCGTCCTCCTGGCCGTCAACACGAAAGCATACCAGTGTAGACAATTCACCGAGAGTTCGTCACAGCCCTTGCCAAGGACACGGGTGAACTCTGCCTCCCACTGGGGCACGGAAAGTTCTGCAGATTTCGCCCAAGGAAGCAGTTATGGGCTGAGTCATGTCCCCCCCAAAACTTCATATGCTCAAATCTAAATCCCAGTGCTTCAGGATGGATTGGGACATAGGGTGCTTACAGAGGGGATGAAGGCAAAGAGAGGTCCTTGTGGGGGTCCCTAACCCAGCACGACTGGTGTGTCCGTGGAAGAAGGGGACACGTGGACACAGACGCACAGAGAGGTGGCCACGGGAAGACTCGGGAGAGGCAGCCGTCCGCAAGCCGAGGAGGGGGACCGCAGGAGAAACCAACCTGCCGACGCCCTGATCTCGGGTCCCAGCCTCCAAGCAGGGAGGACGCAAACTTCCGTCGCTTTGTTTAAGCAGCTCCCTGTGTGACCCGTTGTCGTGGCAACTCCAGCAAACCCTCAGCGAAGCTCTCCCCACCTCCCCCTGACCCTGACAGGCCTCCGGCGGGGCCCTGGGCTCCCGCCCTCGGGCTGCTCACCTGTGGCCCGGACAAGCCTCCGTTCCCAGTGACCTCGGCTGTTCCCCAGCTGGACACTGGTCCTTGGGCTTCACCCCCACCTAGAAAGCCGTGCATGCGTCAGGGCTCTTTCCACTGCCCGGGACTGAGGAGTCTCCACCCCCCAGAAGGCACCCCCAGCCGCCGGGGAGTGGGGAGCACGGAGCAGACCACCGCGACCCAGGGGACATGAGCTTGGCCGTACCTGTGGCCCTGGAGAAGGTGCCGGTGCCTGGCAGAGACGGGGGCCCTGGGAGAGGAGTCAGGGAGAAGCCTGAGCCGGCCTGGGGGGGAGGAGACACACTGGGGGTCTCCTGCTCGGGGAGAAAGGAAAGGCTGCATTGGTGGTCAGCAAATCCGCGCGGCCCTGCTCGTGTTCCTGCAGCGCCCACCCAGGGCCTCCACCCACAACCCCTGTGGGGTGTTCTCCCCGCAAACCCCACTTCCTGGGGGCCACCCCCCTGCTCCGTGACTCCCAGTGACCGCCGGCCTTCTGAGCTGCAACTCGTCATCCTAACTTTTACGGCCCTCCCCTTCACAGGATCCGTTTCCTTCCCCACGACCTCTGTCCCTGCACAAAACCCCCATTGCACCCGGACGGGGCTGGAGTCCAAGGCCAACCAACGCCGGGCCCTCTGCGCCGGAGGAGCCATCCTGGGAGGGGCCCACATAGGCTGGGGCGTCCTGGTCCCTCCGCCAGGTTACCTCCGAGTCGGGGCCATCTGAGGAGTCTTCATCTCCGGAGAGGGATGCGCTGTGGGTGGGCTTTGAGCGAAACCAGCTGAACCAGCCAAACCCTGAGCTCTGGGGGAGGCGGGGGGGCAGAGGTCAGTGGCCTGCAGGTGTGATTCTCCCTCGGGACATGAGAGTAGTCCCCCCAGGGTGAGGTGGTGACGTGGGGCGGGGACACAGCCCAAGCCCAGACCCCCAGTGTGCTGGGAAGAGAAGCCCCGGTCCTCCACCTGTGTGCTCTGCCCCGAGCCTCCTACCTTTGCTCCCTGCGCGGTGTGATGGGAAGATTTCTTATCCGTCTCATCAGAAGAATCCTCCTCCTCTTCCTCCTTGGCCGAAACGGCAGCGCTCTCGGAAATGTCTTGTGTCCCGGGAATCAGTGGCACCTGGGACGAAAGAAAACAAGAACTCACCTGTGTAACGCCCTGGACAGGTTACAACGGCACCTGTACCTGGATTCCGTCACCTGACCTGGCCTGCTCACCTGCCACGTGGGGTCATCCTACCGGGTCACACTCCACTGATGAGGAGGTAGGGCTCAGTCATGCGGCAGGACTTGCCGAAGGTCTCAGGTCAAGGCCAGAGCCCGACCACGGTCCACACGTTATCCCCAGTCCCCTGGGGTCTGGGTGCTGTGCCAGCTCCTGGGAACACCGGGTTCCCAGGGCACACCAAGGCCCAGAGCAGGGGCAGGAAAGGCTACCGCCAGAAGTGCAGAGGGCCAGGGAACACCCCGCAGGGACCCACAAACCCACAAGGACAGTCAGAGTAACCCCCAAACCCACTCCTCCTAGAAAATCTCATCCTACCCCACTAAAAATCTCATTTGACAGCATTAAAGACCAAATAGGAAATAAAGCTGCATTCATGCTTGTTCTTAACCATGTAAAACATGTTGTTTGTGTGTATATATATGTACATACACATATGTGAGTATTGAAATAACCAACTATTTGACTTTGGGATCATGAGGAATATTGGCTTGACTCTTTATTTTTTAAGTTTTCTATAATTAAGAATGCACTACTTTTTCAGTTGGAAAAAGAAAAAGCAAAGCATACAGGTTTTCAAGACCTGTAGGCAGCCAGGACTCGAGAAAGTTACGTGGTACAACCGACCAACCAGGCGCGGCTGGGGAACATCTCACGCTCGGGACCCGCGCTGCCCTTGCCGGGGGAAGGGAGGCCCATGCAACCGCTCGATGACACGACTAATTAGACACGGTCACTTCGGAGACCTTACAGCATCTCCAAGGGCAAGAGACAGAGCTGCCGTAGGCCCTTCTCGGGAGCAAAGCAACGTAGAAATGAAAAGAAAAAAAAAGGAAGAAATATCCGGAGTCTCCCAGACGGGGCAGGGCGTGGCGAGCGTGCGGTGTGAGGGCGAGGAGGGTGAGTCGGACGGAGCAGCCCTGTGAGGCCGGCGCTACGCCCGGCCCCGCTGCCCTGGCCGGGGTGGGGGTCACAGCCGGGGGGGGGGGGCCAAGCGTCCGGGAACTCAGTGTCCCCGCATCTCGGGACTCGGTGTGGAGGACACGAGCACAGACAGGGTGCCGCGGGGAGGGGCGAGCGGGGCCCGGCGGAGGGGGGAGAGCAGGTGGCTGAGGAGCCCGGGGACCAGGGGAACCTGGCGCTTAGGGCGGGCCTCCTCCTCTCACCTGTGGCTCGGAAGCCGCCTTCGGACCGTCGGGATGCTGGGAAGTGTCCGGAGACGCCGCGTTCTCTCCTGCGGTACGAAAAGGAACGAATGTCATGATCTGCGACTGCAGCTGTTCCGACCGTCCTGAGGCAGGGAGTGGGGACAGTCGGCTCTCCTACCCGCACGGCAGCCGGGGCTCCCGGCCCGAAGCCCCAGGCGTATCACACTGAGCGTGAGCACCCCCTTGCCCGGCCTCTCAGTCCAATTCCAGCTGCCCCAGGACGTGCCGGTCACCCTTCCTCTGCCCTGGACACCACGGTTGTTCCCAGGAACCCTGGCACCAGGGCCACATAAAGCTGGGATGCAGGGTCCTCCCCGGCCGGGCCACTCCCTCCATGTGAGTGTCCTGTGGCAGACAGGCCCTTATCTCAGAAGGTCCGAGAGCCGATCCAACTGGCTGGCCTCCAGCACCTCCCTGGCGACCCCCACCACTGCTCGCCCACTCTCAGCCCTGTGGTCCAAGGCCTGATGGGCCTCGGACACCCGGGACCCACACAGGAGCACAGGTCTCGGTGGGCAGCGAGCTCTTGGACCTCAGTAGGAGGACTTGACCTTCACCACAGCCCTCCACCCTGCGGCCTCTCCCCTAGAAACCAAGTGGCCCCGGGGAGGGCAGACGGAGCTGCTGCCAGCATTGCTGCGCTTTTCCCAGCAGAGAGCAAGCTCCCTCGGATGTGTGCAGGGCACCGGCACTGGGGCCGACACACAGTAGGCCCTCTGTCACAGGGCCGACACACAGTAGGCCCTCTGTCACGGGCACGCCCCCAGGCAGGTCTTTCCCAGCTCCCCACCGGCCTGTGCCTCCCCTCATCTGCCCCCTCCCTCCGGACCTGCTCCCCCAGCCTGCCCGCCCAGCCCGGGCCTTACCAGGATGCGGCTGTGTCTGCTGGGCCTGCTCCCAGGCCCTTCCTCCGGGAGCCTCTGTCACAGCCACGCCGCCACCGATCCCCGGCAGGTGAGTCTCGGGAACTGAGTAGAGAGGCACCGGCCCCCCGGTCTGTCCCCAGTCTCCCCCCGCTGGGTAGGAGCCCGGCTGGAGCGGAAAGGGCTGCTGGGGGCCGGGCTGGACCGGGCCCACGGGCTCCACTGTCGGCCACGGGGCTGAGGGGTCCGCAGTGGCTGCTGAGTCGCCTTGGTGTCCCGAAAGATCCTGGTAGGAAGTGTTCTCTAAGGACACGGGGCAGAGAGAGAGAGGCGAGACCTGAGTGGCCGCATCTGCACGTCCCAGTCACCCCAGTGACTCCTTCCCACGTCCTCGTGGGAAAGCGGTCGCGAGAACAGGCCCCTGGACTGGCTGCCACTGATGTGACGACAAGCCCGGCACAGCCACTGCGGTGCCGCCACCCCCTGCCCACGACGTGGAGCTCAGACCACGTTTTCCTCCCACCGTGTGCGACCCCCGAGCCCCCGACGGTGGGTCGGGAGGCAGGAGTTACCACCGTCCTCTGCGATGCCACATTCTTTCTACTTTTGGAGAAACTTTCTCCTTCAAGGGTTTCCTCATGGGCTTGGGTGTTTAAAACTTAGAAAGATTCCAGTTAAAGTGCCCATTGGGCCACAGAAATGATGCCTTTGCTTTTAAGGCACAGGAGCGCCAGCGCGGGCCCTGGGCGGGCCCTTGGTGGCCTTTGCTCTGGCCCCACCATTCTGCCGACGAGACGGGCTACCATGTGGGTGTGTGCCACGACCAGCCCAAGGTCACGGCGTGGGACGGAGCCACGGTCCCACCTGCTCGACTGGGTGACAAGAGACACAGCTGCTCCCCAGCGGAAGCGGCTGCTCAGAGACACCCAGCCTGGCTCTCCTCCAGCCCTTGACCTTCACAGACTCTGCAACTCAGCAGCAAAGCCCAGACCTGGAGACCCAGGCCCGCCCTGCCGGCCTCCCCTCCACTCATGCCTGAAGGGAGCGGGAAAGGCTGGGGAGAGGCCGGCAATGAAGAGACGAGGCCTCGTTCTGACCGCACCGTGGTGCGTCGTCGCTTGGGAAAAGGGTGCGGAATAAACTGGGGGCGGTGATGCGACCCAGCCAGACGCGGAGGCATCCCTCGGGGGGCGTGGGGGGGGGAGCATGTGCGGAAACGCTCTGACACGCATTTCCCGTGTGCGTGGCGGCCGATCGCTCAGAGCCTGGAGAGCTCCGATCGTCCCCGACACCCACGGAAGACACAGGTCGAGCTCCGTCTCCGACCTCGAGAAATGTATTCAGCTGGGGAGACGGCAGGAACGGAGGTGAAACGGGTAGAGACGGATGGGAAGTGACAGGTGTTAAAGCCAGCACGGGAAGCAGAAGCTCGAACGGCGTGAGGATCAGGAGTGTCGGGAGCACCGCGGCCGCAGGAGCGCCGTGGGGATGGCACCCCGGGCCACTGGCTCAGCCCGACCTGGGCCAGAGAAGCGCAGCAGGACAGGGAGGGGTGGGCGTGTTCTAAGTGGCGCCGCCCCATGTCACCAGCTCCTGAGGGTCAGCTACTCACACACTCGGCGCGTCAGTTTGGGTACCTGTTGGTCCTCGGGCTCCCGAAATATCCGAGTGAGCGGCACGGGGTTCCCCAGGGTCTCCGGCTACCTTTTGCTAATCGAGATAAAGGAAAACCCTTTCAGCGACACAAAGGAAAACGCGAACTGGGAACAACGGGTTAAAAATTAAGCCAGAAAGAGACTAGAGGGAGTCACCAAGGTGAGGGAACCTCCGCGGAATGCCAGGGGCTGTGGGGAAGGTGGGGGGTGAGGGGTGGGTAGCAGCCTCAGCCCTGCCCGGCTCCTAGCTGTGCTCAGAGCAGGCAGGGCCCGGGCCCAGGACCACGAGGCTGGGCCCCCGTGTCCCCTCCAGGGAGGGGCGAGTGCACGGAACCCAATGTCCCGGAGTCAGCAGCCCGTGGAGGGAGTAAGGGCCAGGGTCCCTTAAAAACTCTACCCTGTCCTCTCTCAGAGGGCGTGGGAGAAATAAAATGGAGGAGCCCTGTTCCAATTACTGTCACAATTACAACCAGCAGCTTTGGCAATTGTCAGGACAAAAGGGAAAGGCCCGGAAGTCTTTCAAGCGATCGCCCTACATGACATGAAAGAGGCGCGGGCGCGCCGTGGCCCGGCGGCGCTCCTGAAGGAGCGGAAGCCTTGATCCTCATGAGTCGCATTTTCTGGGGCCGCGCGGGGAGCGGGCGGCAGGGGTGGCTGTGGAAGGGGCCCCGCCGCCTCACACGCGAGCACGGGGAACCGTTTCTGCCGGGGGGGATGGGGGGGGAGCCGAGGGGGGGGAAGCTGCCACTGGCTCCCAGGTCAGACCGGGCCTCGTGGGCGACAGGGTCGGGGACTGGCCCGGGTCAGCGCCTGTGCCCTCTGGGTAAGGGGAGCTCCGAGGGGCACAGACAGACCCCCGCCCCAGGCCCGCTCACCGCCAGCTCCTGGTGCAGCTTCCGAAGGCCCACGAGCCACTCGGGCTCCAGGTCCCGGTCCCCACGGCGTCTCTCCATCAGCAGAGGGTCCGACAGCTTCAGCTTCTCGGCTAGCTGTGCCCGGGGCGCAGGTGGGTTGGGGCGGGGAGTGCAAGAGGGGAGCAGGGGGAGGCAAGTCAGTGAGAGAAATGGCCAGAAAATGGGGGGAGACGCAATAGGAAGAAGGAGGACGCGCCGGAACGCACTTGTAAATTAGAGTATAAAGTGTAATCGGGAGAGAGCACATCCAGCAGATACGTCCGCAAAATTTGCAACACGCAAAGGCAGGGAACCCACCCTGGTGTCAGACGCTAAGTGAAATCGGAGGAGAAACTGTTACTCGGCTCTGTGCTCCTGCAGAGCTGCCTGCCGTGTGCGAGTGCTTCTCGAACTCCCACGCGCCTAGGACCCCCCAGGGACCTTGTCAAAATGCTAACTCTGACGTCAGAACTCTGGGCGGCGCCCAGGTGGTGCCTGTGCCCGCTGGTCCGGGGGACGACTTGGTATTGCAACCCTCTATCGCGTTACTAAGTTTCGGACCTTCCCTCCCCCTCCGTGCTGGGTGCCCGAGCTCACTACTGACCTCACCCTGCGGCAGAAACCTCAGAGCAAGGAGGCTCAGCACCACAGACTCTGTGGGTCACAGAACCTCACCTAAAGCAAAGCAAAAACTGACAGCAGGCTGCCTTTGTACTCTCCAGCGAACACATTTTTCTTCAATTAATTGGAACGATTTGCCTGATTTTCTTCCCCCCGGAACTACAAGTTGATCTGTTTTGTTTTCTAAGTGTATCCCACCTGTGATCAAGCATTCCATGCATTTGGAAGCACTTTAACAAGGGGCATTTCCTATGTCCATCACTAAAACATGGTCTCTGAGCGTAGCTTGTGCAATTATAATGTTCCACCCTAACGTGCAGTCTCACCGCACCAGAAACGCAGACGCAAGGATGAACCCAGCCCCCCTGCTGTGCCCCCGCCCCCAGCATCCTTCTCTGCCCGGTGTCAGGCCTCGGCTTATCACATCTGGGCATGCACGCACGGTCACAGACAGCCCCGGGCTCCCATTCTGCAGCAGCTCGAAGGAGATGAAATGCGGGCCTGAGCCACTTTGCAAGCGCTCGCTCTGAACGCTAAGGATAAAACAGGCGCAGAGAACCCTTTAGGAAGCTCACCTTGATGAGCTCCACCAGCAGCACAGGGTGACTGCTCTCTCCCTGGCTGAGCAGGGCTGTGCCGACGGCTTCGCAGTAATGCAGGGCCTGGGACGCAAGGCCGAAGTCTGCCAGCCGGGAAGCGTACAGGAACTTGTACACCTGCGAGGAGGAGCGGGGCGGGTGACTGGTCCACCCAGGCCGGCGTAGACAGAGAGGGGTGACGCCAGCAGACCGCCAGCTTCCTCTGACTCTGCCGTCTAAATACCAAGGAGGGCCTAGCGCCATTTGGGGCAGTCTATCTGTGCACGGGCCCAAGGACAAGTGCAGCCTGCGGCTCCTAGAGAAAGGGATGGAAGTCACATCCCTCCGTCTCCCTGGGCCCTGGTCACGAAGGAAATGCAGCCCCCTTTCCCGGAAAGCCACGTGGGGCACAGGGCCAGGGGCGGGGGGGTGCCGCGTAAAAGAAGACACAATGGCTGGTGCCGGGGCTTAAAGCCCACCGGGGAGTGCGGACGGACGTGGGTGGGCTTTCCCAGAAGCAAGCACAACAGGCGGAGATGGACCCTGAGGGCTCGGGGATCGGGCAGACCCAAGTTCAAGTCCCAGCTCCCTGCTGGGTGTGCAGCACTAGCTCGTGACCCCGCCTCTCTGTGCCTCACCAGAGATGGGGACGATAACACTACCTCTCAGCCGGTTGTGGCAAAGGCTCAATGAGAGAATCCGTGTTCTGAGAACAAATGACATGCAAGAGATGCGAACCCACAGCTCTGAACACCTGTTTCCCCTTCTGGGAAGGGGGCAGGCGGACACCACTCCAGCCTCACGGGGCTGGCAGTGATACACGAGGAGCATGCAAGCCCCATCCCAGGCACGGGGAGCCCAGGCGAGGAGACCGGTTCCTCTGATCACCACCAGCCCGGAGCTCACGGGAGGCGGCTGACTCGGGGAGGCAGGGGCAGGGAGGCTGAAGGCCTGCCCCCCGAGGCCCGGCCAGCAGGCTGTGCCGGCGCCCGCAGGGCTCTGGGGAACCTCGGAAGTGAGTCTCAAAGGGGGTCCTTTTTCTGCGCATAGTAATACATTCACTTTCAAGGTCTGGTTTGGTGTGTGTCCCGTGTTCTCAGGGGTGTGGGTATGTCTGTGTGTTTGTGCCTGTGTGTCACTGCCACCGTGTCACTGAAGCAGGCGCCGAAGGAGTCTCTGTGAATTGGAAGTGACAAGAGAGCGCCCCGCGGGGAAGCTGAGCAGGGAGGTTAGAACCCGTGAAGGACAAGGCCACCGGCACCGCTGGAGCCCTGGGGGCCGAGGATGGCGCAGGCAGTGGTTTCCAGAGTTTGAAGATAGAAGAGTCCCGAGAAGTCAGAGAAGCAGGTCAGCAGCAGCAGCAGGGCAGGGCGGGCAGCCCACCAGCTGGGGCCTCCAGGCCCAGGCCTGCCATGTAGCCGGGACCCCGGGGGCGGGATTTTCATCGGTCAGAGCCAGGCGGGGGCTTCCGGCAGACACCACTGCAGCATTTCGTGTTCATGTCCTAAAACTCAGACCTTCAGGGGACCTGGAGAGAAACCCTAACCCTCCCCACGCTCGCGCGAGGGAAAGGTGGTAGGGGACGTGGCCCCGCTGGCGTGTGCCGGAGAGCAGAGCTGAAAACCCAGCTGCCCGCCGCCAAGGACACGGAGCAGGTGCCGGCCCGGCCCCGTGTGGGTGCAGTTACCTGGAACGAAGGGATGAAGGACTGGGGGCGGCCCAGCATCTGACAGTACTCGAAGATTTCCGTCCTCTGGATAGCCTCGGTGGATGCAAATCTCGGAAACTCTTGACTGAAACCAGGGAAGGGCAGTAGGAGATTGAGGTGGGGGCGGGGGAGGAAGGTGGGTCCCAGCAGGTAGCGGAACACCAGTGGCGCCCATGCTCATCCTCGGCAGAGTCCCTGTCCCGGAGGGGGGAGGGCTCTGGGCCCCCCGAGGGAAGGCTCTTCCCCTCTGCTCCGCTCTGCTCCGGGGAAGGACCAGAACCCAGCGGGGGTGGGAGGGGGGGGGGCGGCAGCCCTGCGGGAAGCAGCAGGGGCGGGCAGGCTGCGGAAAAGGGGAAGGGGCTCGTCCTCCCCCCTCCTCGCTGGAGGGTCCCTGAGGCGGGCTGCTCTCCCTCCCAGCTCGCCTGAGGGCCCTGAGAGCCTAGCACGTGCACCTGTCTCGGGCCACCCCCAGCCTGAGCCCCGGGGCACGAAAGAGGGAGCAATGAGACACTCTGGGAGCACTTATCAGAGCCGGCACGGCAGCGACCTCGGAGGACCACGGAGCCAAAAATCAGCGCTGGTCCCTGTGCTGGGTGTTCCCTCAGCCAGTGAGGAAGCCAACTGGGTCAGTGTGACCCGAGGGGCCATCCGAGTCCCTTCGTGCCCCACGTCTCTCCCTCCACAGCTCGCCACCATCACCGGGGCTGTCCCTGGGGTCACAACTCCATCTCCAGACATCTCCTCTTGCCACACAAACCAGCAGAGAGACGTGTGAACCGCACACCCTTGCTGTCACCCGGGGCCCAGACGGGCTTCTCTGACGAGCTAACCACGGGCTATCGGGGGCCAGAGCCTCCAGAGAACAGGCCGTACGGCGTGCGCTCCTGTGGCTGCAGGCAGTTCCGGGCAGCTGCCAAAAGCAAGGGCTTCGCAGCCACCCGGTCTGGATTCCAAGTCTAGCTTGACCCCACACCAGCTGCGCTATCTTAGACAAGTTACTCAGCCTCTCTGTGCCTTGGTTTCCCTCCTCTAGCAAGTGAAGATTAAACAGAACGTCTTCTTCACAGGGTAAATTTGTGATGATGGAAGGAAATAGTGCAAATAAAATGACTAACACAATGTAAGAGCTCGGGAAATCTTCATTATTACAGGGACGGGAAGAAGAGGTCCAGAACGTGGAGGAAAAGCCTAATGTTAGAGCCCAGAGAGAACGAGTGACAGGTGGGACTCTGAGTAGCTTGTGCACCAAGGCCGCAGTGTAGGAGCTGAGCAAAAACTTCTTCCACTTTCCGGTTTTGCCCAGGGCTGCCTAACACAGCGCCACAAGGCGCTCACACTGGTTTAGGAGAGACGGTCCCCGGTCGTGGAGCCAGGGCGCCGCCAAGTGGCCAGGGGTGCACAATACAACCCCAGGGCGCCAGCTCTCACCAAAGGCCCCCTGGTGGTGTGAAGCGGCACCTGCTGGGCCTCCCCTTGCCCAGACCTGAGCGGAAACAAGTCCCCGAGAAGGGGACCGGCGGTAGCTGGGATTCACCCAAGACCACGGAAAATGGAGCCGTGAACCCAACGAGCACTAAAGCACACCCCTAGAAAACAGAACTCCCCTTCCCGTCTCCTGTGCCCCGGAAGATCGCCTACCTGTGGCTGCTGCCCAGCAGGGCCAGGTGGTCTGTCTTCACCGTGTAGTGGCCGAAGGGCACGCGAGCCACGAGGTAGCAGAAGTGAGCCGCCTCCACCATCCCCTTCCCGGCTGCAGGGCAAGGACAAGCCCCAGTCATGACACGCGCCGTGCCCACGTGGGGACCCGGCCTCTGGGTGGGAGGGGAGGCCGCTGAAGGTGGACTCCGAGGTAGGTCAGAGGGGAGAGCCTCACAGTCCCCAAACCCCGCCCCCTCGGTTTCTTTTCCCACCACATTTCCGGCCTCAGACACTCCATTTCAACCCTCTGCAGCGGGAATGAGGCACTGTTTCACGCCGCCCCTAATGGATTTTTGAGTAGGAATTTTCTAAGCAGGTGAGTCCTTCCCGAGGGTGAGAAGCGAGAACAGATGCCTACACCTGAGCAAAGACGAGGACCACTTCTAAGGAGGAGCCATGTTTAAAACCAGGCTTCTTGGCCACCTAATGCATTCCTTGCGGAAATCGAACAATGGAAGGCTTCCCCCGGCGCTCATAAAAATCACATTAATTACCAAATTGTTCCCGGGCTTGAAGTGCCCTCCCACACACTTTCCATTACCTCCAAATTGAGTGCATTCAAGCAGGTAAAGTACCTAGCACAGTGCCCGGCACCCAGGGGCTCAGCACACAGTGTCGCTTTGTAGCCAGGGGCTGAGTGACCTGCCATCTGACTCGGTGCAGCCTCCCACAAAGCTATTTTCAGTTTCACAGACTAGTATTTCACTAAGTTCCACAAAGAGAACCATGATTTCTCCCTGTTCTGCCCCTGGACCAAATCTGAGAGTCACTGATCTGAGCCATTCCAATAGCCCCCACGTGTTTATAAGGCCATGTTCACAGAGGGAGTTAGAAATAAAGGGCACACAATGTTCCGGGGTAGTTCAGGCAAAAATGGAATCTCCTGTCTGCTGGAGCTGGGCCACTGCAGGACTAACGGCGACAGGAGGGGACATGCCCCGTGCCCTAACTCATCTTCTGGGAAGTCTGACCAGAAGTAGGAGGTCCCCTGCTGAGAGAGCCGTGAACTCCAGTCTCGGGGCCTGCCCTGCCCTGGCGTGTCGCCCACTTTCTGGGAAACAGAGAGGCGAGGAGGCCACTCCTTTCCCTGGACTTTCTGTCCCCACAACACTGAGGCTCCTGGGTCAAAGGGAAGCTGGGGGCATCGTCTTGGACCCTCCACAGAACCTGAGAACCAAAGCACAGGGTGTGCTCGGCCCGGGGCTACCCTAGAGGGGCGGGGGAGGGCGAGGACGCCGCGCCGGCTTCTGCTCACCCAGGGTGTCCCCCATGGTGACGATGGCGCGCTGGTGCAGCTCCGGGTCCCCGGCCTGATTCGACAGGATCACCGCCAAGTGAGGCCTCCAGTCTCCCCACTGCTTGTCCCCACAACTCTGAGAAGCAGCAGAGAAAAGAAAAAAATGGAAGTTTCCTGAGCAGTGCAGCCCTGGCCAGGGTGGAGGTGAGGAAGGCTGCTGTCCACTTCCCGGCCTGGAGGAGTTCTGGGGCCACCTGCTGCACCGCCGGCCAGGCTGCCGCTCTCAACTGCAAGTTCTCTTTTCAGAAACAAAACCCCCAGAGCGATGGACAGGCGGACAGTTTTATACCCGAGCGCATGGAGGGGTAACACATAAAATGGCACTATTCGTCGCCAATTTTCAAACTTCTTCCTGGTGCCCCCCAATCCCGACAGCTAGGGGGAAACAAATGAAGATAAAACCCTGATGTGTCCGTGGGAGGAGGAAGGCCAAACATCCTGGGCTCCCGAGAGGAAGAGTCCACAGTAGCGTCAGAAGTCAGGGGAACACTGGACTTCTTAACACCTTGCAAATGGCTCGTGTTCTCTGGTTTTACAAAGCCCTGTCACATGCCTCGCCTTCTTTCATCTTCACAACAAACCTACTGCCACTTGGAGAAGGAAACAAATCAAGGCAGGTGGCCCAGCCCCATGAGATCCTAGACAAGAGCTATGTCCGCCTCCCTCTGGTGACAATGCAGGGGCAGGAGATGTCCACCAGGGGGCAGTAGAGTATAAACAAAGACCACACAAAGGGTGCTTTTCCTACCATCTGGCCCTAGGGCCACCTTATCCTGAATGAAGGGGGTTTCGGGGCAGGAAACACCAATAAAAGAAACAACATAAGGTCACAGGAGTAACACGGGCCCTGGTTCAACTGGAGTCCAGCCCCTGACTAGCTGTGTGACCTTCAGCACGTTTTTAAATGTGTTTAAACCTTCGTTTCCTTGTCTCTGAAATGCAGATCATAATTTCTACCCCAGAGGGTTATTGTTGTTGGTAATACTATGAGATAGGGAGGTAAAGCACATAGCACAGTGCTGCACACTTGGCTTGCACTTTATAAGTCACGTGTAGGTGCAAACACACGCGCACACACACGTAAGCCCAGCACAGGAAAGAGGTGATTTGCAGACGAGTTCTGTTTCCTGATTGTCACCTCAAGTGCGTAGAGATTGACGGTAATACCCAGGATCTGGGTGTCAAAACAATCCACGAATCCCTGGCCTTTGTCATTGCCCCAAGGAAGCGAAGACGCTTCACCGGACTCCATGTTACCGTTACTCTTTGCTGACCTGGGCGGTGCAGCGCGAGCGGGAAGGATGGCAATAATAAGTCACAGGACTGAGCGCAGCTGCCACTTATTGCACTCTGACCGTGCGTGGGCCACTCCCCATGCTGAGCGCGTCTTCCAGGACGGGTCCCCGGCTGCGGGTGCTATTATTATCCCCATCTTAACGCGTGAGCCGGGCCCTTTCTTGCTGGAACTGAAGCAAGCAGGAAAAGAAAAGCCTTTGCTAAAAATAACGAAAACTTAGAAGTCACCCCTCTGCCTCCTCCACAAGCGATTTTTAAAAATCGCTGTAAAGCAGATACAGCAAGAGAAAGGGACGGAGAGCGGGCATTTGTTCACTAATTTCAACCAGCCAAGCACGGCGGCTGACGTGTTCAGGTATTATCTCCCGTTAATTGTCACAGTAAGCCCATCGGTTCGGCATCGCAATGTCCACAGACAGGAGAAACCGAGGTTCTGAGATTAAGGAACAAGGCCAAGTGCACACAGAGCGCAGCTGCATAGAGTCCCGGTTACGCATGCGCTCGAAGCCCCGGCCGGTTTCCCTGGCCGTGCTCTTCATCCGCGACACCGCGCACCCCGCGGAACTGCAGTCCTGGCTGTCTCCGGACGCCACGATGAGACCCTCTCAAACGCCAAGATCAAACACAGCTTTGGCGCCGCACCGCTGACCTCTCGGTTTCCTCCCCGAACGGTCGGGAACACTTAGCTAACTCTCCCACTGGAGTGAGACGCAGAGGCCCCCGCATCGATGGCGCCATTTCCTGCGCGTTGCCAGGGGACGCGATGCCGAGGCGGAGCGCAGGCGTCAGGCTGAGCGGTGGGGCGCGCTCTGGGCTCTGGCGCAGCCCGGGGGTTGCGGGGGGCGGGGGGGGGGGGGTTGACGAAGGGACACGAAAGTCGTCATTTCCCTTTTCGTGGAGTTGTGCACAAGCAGCAAGGAAAACAACAATCAAGCACAAGCGTGAAGTCCATTGTCATGAAAGCTAGGTGTCAGCAGAGCCCCGCACCTGGAAATACGAGACAAGGCGGCCAGAAGTCATGGAGAGTGGGCAGAGGCATGCTCAGGAGGGAGCAGAGAGAGACCACGGGGGTCAGGGTGGGGGGACCCCACAGACATCTCCGCAGGCTGGGGACGCGTGAAGGCCGCACAGACGGTCACAGGAAACTCCAGGGGATGCGGAAAGGCCGCACGGCCTGGGTACGGCCCGGCCCCTCCCCGCACAGGCCTCCCACAAATAACCGGAACACGACAACTCAGCTCCTCGAAGGAGCGAGTGCAGACTCTGTGCAATTACACTACAAAGATAAAGGGAGAGGAGTAGCATGAAAAATAAACGGAAAGTAGAAGGAACATTCACCAGAAAAAAAAAAAAAAAACAAGTTATCAGAAACAAGAAACTGTCACCCAATTACCCAGTATTTTATCATTAACCGAAGCAAAATAAAGTAGTGAAACCAGTTCCTGGAAGCAAGGGCCTGAAACTAAGTTTTGGGGGCCCGGGAAGGACATGGTGCGAAGGGGGGAGGTCCACGCGGCCCTCCGAGCTCGGGGCTGCAGCGGGAGAAAAACCAGAGAAAGGAGGACGAAAGGGAAGAGAACATAAAAGCGCACAGACACCGCTGAGAACGCAAGAAGGGCTGAACAAGGTAGAAACCAGAAACGCAAAAAAAAAAAAAGGAAGAAATAAAGAAATGAAAATTTTTTTAATTAAATGAAATGTGTGTAAATGGAGTTTCTGAAAAGAAAACCAAAATAATAGAACAAAACGATCACTGAAGGATATAATTCAAGAAAACCTTTCTGCACTGTCAGATACGAATACATGTATTTAAAAAGCATGCTGTATTCCGCAAAAAAGCTGACCCAGACAGCCAACGAAAACGTATCCTAGTTACCGAACTTCCCAGGTCAGGAAGGCGAACTTGGAGCAAGAACCCCGAGCCTCTCACAACGGGACAGCGATCCGGCCGGCCTCGCTCCAAGTCCTGACGACGTGTAAAATCTATCCTGTCCCGGAGCGAGGGGTCCAGGCGCAGGGCGGAAAGGAGGAGGAGCCTGCGGAGGCCTGAGTGACAGCCGGGGCCCTCCCATACTTCGGGCGCAGCAGGCAGCCGAGCCCTTGTGCAAGTGCAGGGTGGGCGGCCCCCCGCAGACCTGGGCTGGCCCCGACACCACGCCTCACTCGCCCTGCGCTGTGGCTCCCCTCACTCCTGGGCACCTACGTTTCCACTTCAGCCAAACAAGGACAGGAGTCCCTACCTCCGTGCGTGACATGAAATCATGTGCCTCCAAGTGCATAGCACGAGGTAGGTGGTTAACAAACACTTATTTTGATCTTTAATCGTGGAAGCCACGCCCCGGCTCCAGAGCAGTCTCCTCCCCCTAAGGCCCTAGGATGCGGGTGCGGACAGGGCGCGTCCCCAGGAGTACCGTGGCCGCCTGTGGGATCCTGCCAGACATGAGCTGGAAGAGGGTCTGCAGCGGGTCGTGGAGCGCCAGCGTGCTGGTGAAGCTGCGGAGAGAGGCGGCCGTCAGTGGGGACCACGCCGAGAGGGCCTGTGGCCCACGGCCGGGGGCGCACGAGGCCTCGTCCGTCCGTATATCTGTCTGGTTTTAGCAGCTGCCTTTGGAACAAGAGTCTCTCTTTGCTTTCCGGTCGTGCCTTTGTCACCCTCACTTTTGCAGCGGGGTTGGGGGGGGGAGGAGGGAGTGGAGGACAGAATCTTCACTCCGCCACCCACCCAGGTGGCTCTTGTGGTGGTCTGGGGAGGTTTTCTGCACTTTGGCACGGACACCCAAATTCTTGGGTAAACATCTCTGCGTGGAGGTGACCCACCCACATTTCAAAGAGCCCCAAAGGGCCCCAGCAGTCATCCTGAACCTCTTCTCTGTGGGCCCCTCCTTTCCAGCACCCCCCCCCCAACTCCTACAGCTCCCAGCACTGGTTCTCTGGCTCATCGCCAGCCCGGGTCTGCAGTGCTTTTACTCACGGGCACTAAGTAGCCGTTCTCAGTGACCAAAAAGGCGTCAGACAGAGACCAGCAGTGGTCCCAATGATGACAAACCAAGAGATACCCCAAACAAGCAGTATAATAAGCTCTAGAGCTGAATGGAAAGAGGTATTTTCCACAATTCACTGGGCGCCGTCGAGAATCAATGGCCCGAGGCAAAGCTCTGTAGCAGAAGCATATGCTCCCACGCGGGGCCATGGGAGACGGCTTCCCGCCCCCCAGGGGAGAGTCACCCCTCAGAGCGCCGTCCTACAGCAGCGCCCTGGCCTCGCAGGCTCAGAGCACGTGACATGCTGAAGCTCCGTGCTCTTGCCCGCTCCAGCCCCTGCACAGGCCTAGGGCGCAGCCGGGGTACCAGGCCCCGTGCCGCCTGAGGGGCAGAGCCATGAAGAGACTCCGCGGAGGCCATCGTGAGGAGCAGGCTCCCGGGGAGTGTGACAGCCGCTAGCCCCACGGACTGAACTTGGACTAGAGTGTCTGTCTCCCTTGCTAATGCTCTGCTCAACAGGGTGTGTGGCAATTCACAGGTAAGTGAAGCTAAGAGGGTAGCCCCACCCATGCCACATGCCTGTCCCAGGGACGCTAACTAGGGCTGAACGGACTTGCTCAGAAACCCTCCTCTGGCATGCCCTAGACCTACCGCCTCCATCAGATCCAGTTCCCTTTTGCTGCTTCATCTGCCTTAGTCCGAACTCCTGGCTTTGAAGTTGCACCTCCATTCCTATCTCGTCCTGGTGTGGGCGTTTGTCCTGGTCCACCTGGCGCCCAGATCTTGGTGTCCTGGCCTGATTTCTGACTACATGTATCCCTCTGGTCTCATCATCTCCCCCTGCCCCGGGTGAAGACTTCAGGGTCTGTAAATCCCCTTTCCTGCCACAGCGCACGGCCCTGCTACCCCGCATCCCTGCCTTCTCAGCACCGATATCTCCACCGCAAAACTAAGCAGTGGGCATGCACTCATTCTCAGCCTTAGGACTCCTTCGGTTCACCTTAGTGGTCCTTCCCATCCCCTCGCTGATGGGGCTGTGTGCAACAGCCCCTTCGAAAGACAGAGGCTGTCGCAATGTAGAAACCCGCTTACTTCTTGGAAACCCTGACTCAGGGAGACATTGCTAAAACGTTCTCTTCAGCGTCTCAGGTAGAAAGAGTGTGTCTGTGGGTAGATTATAAGAATCTGGAGGACAGAAATGCTACGTCCCGTTCAGAAAAGAGCCTGGATGAACACTCGGAGGGTGGGCGCCTCAATGCTTCTTGCATTTCTCCCACTGTCACCCCCCCATCTGGTGGGGAGGCCTCTCCGCACCCCTGGTCTCCATGGCGAGTCCCCGGCTCACCCACTCATGACCCAGCTGTAGGTCCTGGGGTCCATCTTGCTGGACAGGAACAAAGCGTGGCCCCACAGGTGGTTCCTCATGGCCCACTCCAAGGCCTCCTGGAAACAAAGCATCACACGCGGTGTTGTGGTGTTGTGTGTCCACTCACCTTCCCCCGACAGCAGGAACACGCTGCTGCACTTAGGAGCCGCTGCCCCCTGGGCAAGAGGGACGGGGCCTCCACAAAGACTCTCAGAGCCCCACCTGTGGACACGAGACAGGAGCCGTGCGAAAGGGGCTTTCTCTGGCACGTATTTCTACACTGTCCCTTTCTCCAGCCTCGACTTTGTCAGAATCCTCTGTTCCCTTTCATTCGTTCCCCCTCCGACACAGCAGCCAGTTAGCCCTGTCACCGGCAAAGGCACACGACACGCTGGTGAACCCAAGCACCGAAAACTCGAGAAGCACCTCCCCCCAAGGACTGAGTCTCGGGACACACGTGACAAGGCAATGCAGCCGGCCCTCCATGTCCACGAGTTCCACGTGCCCAGGTCCCACCAACCTCATGCACCATGGGCAGAGTAAACTGGCATGACCTCTAGTAAGGCGACTTTAAATAGCTACCAGCATCACAAACCATCCACCCTTCCAGAACACCTCCACGTCCAGAAAGGTGTTCTCTCACACAAGGTGACATGACAACGGCTGTGCATCGCAGCATCGTTGGTGACAGCAAAAGACTGGACGTAACCTAAATGTCAGTATACAGGGTGTCATCGGTTATAATTTATCTGTAGAGCCCTGTGCAGCCCTCGGACATAACGAGGAAGACATTTACATATTATGCAGAGCAGGGCCCCGCAGAACGTGGCCTGGAGGCCAGCTTCCGCCCACGAGCTAAGAATAGTCTTTGCATTTTTAGATGATTGGAAAAATCAAGAGAAGAACAATATTCTGGGGCACATGGAAGTGATACATAATCTGAGTCCCCGCTGGAGCGCGGCCACTCCGCCGGTGCACACGCAGCCTGCGGCCGAGCACTCGCAGGAAGCGGGGCCGAGCGACTGCCAGCCTGGAAAAGTGACCGCCTGTCCTTGTCCCGGAAACACCTGCCCAGAGGTTTTGTTAAATAAAAAACAGAAGGTGAAAAGGGGTGAACAGTCTGCTGTTAAAAGAGGAGAAAGTAATCCCACATGCATAAAATGTCTCTGTGCCGTTTCCCCATTTTATCCTTTTTTCAATCTTTTGAATCAAATTGATTGACATTGATGTTAATCATACACTCACATATGATTAAGTTCATTTCAGACTTTCGTAAAATGCAAGTTTGACTTCAAAATTAAACAAGGCACAAAAATAGGTAAATCTGTGAGTGATGTATGTGTTAATTACCTCAACAGGGGAATCCCTTTGCATGATACACAGGTACTAAATCTGTACATGTTACATTTTAAAACCTCACCATTTTATTTGTCAAATATACCTCAAATATACCTCAAAGGTATACAAATACCTTTATTTGTCAAATAAAGTTGTCTAATTTATATGTCAAAAAATTAAGCAAGACATCACTCCATCTGTGGAATTAAAGTATTCAGATTGATAGGTGCACCTCAGATATAGCTGGGGAGGATACAGCTTGTAACAAATGTTCTGGAAACTAATTTAGTGTATGTATTAAGAGCTTTTTAGAAAGTGCATGCCCTTCAACCTGGTGATGTCACTTCTAGTAATCTATCCTTAAAAAATAATAATGAAAATATCCACCAAAGACTTATGTGACAAGAGGTTCAAACTGTATCATTTATAATGGGTGACAAAAATGTAGATAGCCTACATAGTCAACAAGAATGGATTTTAAATAAAAGCTGATGCCCTCAATTGATGGGATAGCGCCCAACCATTTTTAAATGGTGCATGTTCATGCCATGGGAGTATTTCACCATATAACCTCAGGGAAAAAAGTAGTACTTGTATATATGATTTAATTTGCTTTTGAATATATAGGCATAGAAAATGCTAGAAGGAAATACATCAAAAACGTTAACAGGTGTGATCTTTGAGTGGGAGGATTATGGCTGTTTTTCTTTTCTAATTATAGAAAAGTTTATAACAAACTGAACTTGTGTTCTCACTCTTTCCCCAAATCAAACTTGTCGTGGGTAAACCATAGTTCCCGGTCCCACTGCTCACTCCAGATGCCCCCCCCCACCCGAGAACGGAGCTTTGCCAGTGAGCAGGACACTCCGGCCACATTGTTGCCATGCAGTCCGAGGGTGTTTGCGGAATGTTTGCTGCTGCTCATGCAGAAAGATAAATAAGTGTGTAAAACACACCTTCTGATTTCAGGATACTTCTGTCATTTTGGAAAATCTGTAATTATTTTGTTTCACCCACACCATCATTAAAAAACATGTAATGAACTGTATTCGTGATGTTTCAACTCCAAATATACTCAGAGGGTTTGAGAGATTCTTAAGAAAAACAGCACTCCAACTTTGTTTTGCTTACAGGTGGAATGAGAAAAACAATCACTTGCCTTTCCTTAACTAGAAATTCCTGAGTAGTCATACCTCCTTAGAGACTTGAAGATTATATTTCTGAATACTGAGTTTGAGAAAACCAAATTGATCCAAATTCAAGAGTGATAAACATGAAATGACGATCTACATTGGAATTCTTTTCTACTCCTTAAATATCAAACCGCAAATGCGCTCCTTCGTGGTTTTATTTTCTCCTTTGCACCTTCCTGAGCTGCGGTGCTGTAAAATGGGTCTAGATACAGGGTCGGGCAGAAGTAACGCCTGCATGAGTGTGGTTGGTTGGGCAATAATAATATGGGTGTAACAACTTACACTTTTCATTTGAACACTTCACCTAAACTGTCACGTGGTGTGCTTGAGCGTGATATTGTCGTGTTACACAGTGACATGCTTACAATTTTGTAACAAAAGATTTTGTAATAAAAAAGGGGCGTTACTTGTGCTGGACCCTGTATTGCCCTGTCTGCGTGGAGGAGGGCTGAGCGGTGGGGACAGACAACGGTTGCTTTTTAAAAACAAGCCTGGAGGGGGCGCACTCGCCTTCTTCCTTCCGTAGTACAGCAGTTTGGTGAATTTCTCCACGATCTGCGCGGGCGTCTCCACGCTGGGCGGAATCTCCCCCGTGAGCAGGTTCGGGGTCCCCATGCCGAGCACCGGCCTGTCGTCCTCCTCGGTCAGGCTGATGAGATTGGCCACCGGCGGCTGCCTCTGGTACTTGTCCAGCTTTTTGCAGTCTTGCACCAGCAGCTCCGCAATGTCAGACCCCACCATGGACTGCAAGGCAAAGAGCGTCACCGGAGGGAGGGAGGGAGGATCCTCCTCCTCGCCCTAGCCACGCCGCCCAGGCTGAAGAAGCAGACCCGGGAGTGCCCGCCCTCTTCATGGGGAAGCCAGCCCTGGGTTGCTGCATCCCGCTGGGGTGCCACGAGGGTTCCGGGAACACGCACACTCTCACGGGTGTGTTGCTGCCTGGCGCAGCGACCCAACAACTTCCGATACCCCAAGCCAGGGGACAAGGGCCACAGGGAGGTGGGAGTTGGCAAGCTGGCATTGACAGCGGAGCAGTTTGGGGGGGGGGGGCGGTGCTTGTGGCTTCTTTGCTATTACCTTTGATAATTACGCCGTAAGCTGAACCTTACTTATCCCAAGAAGGCTGACGTTCCAATCCGGCTGCTCCTGCCCCCCCTATCCCCCCGCAGAGAGGCACCACTCACCCCATTCTGCCGGCAAAGGAGAACCAGCAGCTGCCACAGCAGAGCAGAGTCTCGGCTCCCTGGGGTCTCAGATTTGCGGCTCTGGGCTGCCTTCTGCTGGCAAAACGTCATGATGTCCACCTTGTGGACGTCTTCCCTGAGGAGAGATGCCAGGGAGCGAGGGGTGAGTGGCAGACTCTGCCCCGTGGGGCCCCGGGGCTCCCCCCGAGGTGCGTGGCCGCTGGCTGGGCTGGGACCGGGAATGAGCCTGCGGCTGCAGGATGGTCCTCTCCGTGGGGAACAGGGCGGGACTTCAGAGATTCTCACGGTCGCCCTCCCCATGTCACAGGTGAGGAGACCGAGGCCCCGAGACCTGAAGTGACCGCCGTCGGGGAGGGCAAGAGCCCAGACTTTGGAGCCGGGTTCAAACCCGGGGTTTAACTCTAGCTCGCCTCGTCTCAGCTCACACACAAGCTTGTCTCTCCTCGGAGCCCCAGCTTTCCCCCGTAAGACAGGGGTCATTTTAAAAATCGATCTCTCGACAAAAAAAGGAATTAGCAAATTGGGAGGCATATATTGCGTGCTCGATAAACAAGCAGTACTGTGTGCTCAAGACCATTCAATAAAATCAGTGCTCCGTTGGAACCAGTACCCCAGCGTCCAAACACACCACTCGGTGCTGCCTGCGTGCGAGAAACAGACAACTCAGCTTCACCTGGAGACACTGTCAAAATACTAGAGGGGCACTTCGCTGGAGGGAGAGATTCAGGACACAAACACATTTATGTAACAGCGTGGATGCTTAAAGAGTCTCACAGCCACGGTGGGTAGGCATAGCCGGCATCACATCATTTCTTAAAGGGAAAACTAAGGCTAGAGAGCAAACTAACTGAGCTGTCCACCTTAGTATATGCCTGGGGCTGGGACCCAGGTCCTCTGACATCAGCCTGGAGTCTCCACAGCAAAGGGCTTTTAAAAGCAGTTCTAGTTCAATCCTGCAGAGGGCAGACTTGCACACTGTCCGGGAACTCGCACTGACCAAGTTATTTCTCCAGAAAGCAGCAAGCAAGCCTTTCCCCCCCACCTCCGCTGAACCTGTCTACAACTTCCAGCCTGTTCTCCCCTCCTCCCACGTCTGTTAAGGACACAGAACACTAAACCTCCTACTCTGTCGCTGCTGCAAAATGGAACCGATTTCATATTTTTAAACCTTCACGATAATTTTTCTGGCCCTTCAAATACTGAATCGCTGGTAGAAAAAGGCTCAGACCACATTGGGCTCTGCCTGGCAGAACAGAGAAGTCTAGTGCACTGGGGATCGACGCTTTCTTTCAGAGAAGCCGAGAGCAAATCCTCCCAAATCCTGCTCTGAGCAGGAAGACTGCGGGTTTCAAAAGCCCTTCCTCCGCTGCTCATAGGGTGGTTTACCGGATCAGGGGTCCTGAGAAAGTTCTCATCTCTTCTTGTTCCTCGGAATCATTAAGAATAACCTGGAACAAAAATTAGATTTGCTCTTCCAGACCCCATCCACCCAATGCCCCTCTCAGTCCAGCCCAGGGCCAGTGCCCCAGGCCAGGGTCCCAAGGTGTGGCTCAGTGTCTGGTAGAGGAAGCAGAGCACGAGAGAGTTCTCCAGTTGCTGAATCTGTGCCGACAGCATCTCAGGAAAAATGTGAGTCTAGTGTCACTTCTCAGAGAAGGGCCCTGCCCCCTTCTGCATGCACAGCCCCACCCACAGGGTGCTCAGCCCAGTTCCCCACAAGAGGCCCCCCGTTCCTGGAGATGCCCAGGCTCAAACGAGAGGAAGCAGGGAGCAGCGCGCTGGCATGCCAGGGACTCGGACCCCCATTTACCTCCATGCTGTGCAGTTCGACCAGGGCCGTCTGCCCTTCGCTGGGAGAGCTGGGGCACGCACATACCAGGTGACCTCCTGGCCCGAAACTCACAGGCACGTGGGGGACGTAGAACTTCATGGGCGCCTTGGAACCAGCTGTCGAGACGTCCTCTGGCCAACAGACACGGGTGGACACTGTTAGCACGACCGTCACCGCTTTCCTCGACTTAGAAATATGCCGCAGACGCATTCCTATCCAAACTCCACCTGGGCGCTGGGTGGGCCACACCCTCAGAAGCAGCCCGAGCTGCGAGTCAGGTTTAAGCCCCTGAGACCATGTCAGAGCACAGCGCAAGCATCTGGGGGTCGGTCCAAATGTTAATAACGCACGAAGACCAGACTCTCGGTGACGATGAGAGGCCAGGACGTTTAACAAATCATCTGCATCCAGACATAGCAACCGTGCTCTGTGACCTGCCTTTGCTTTACCAGACTGATTCTAGTGCCCTTTTCCTTCACCTGCTACTTGAAAGCACCTGGGAGTGAGTGCCTGGTGGTGGCGAGGGGCGGGGCTCCCTCTCAAGAATCTGCTATGATGCAACGTCCAGGACGAGAGAGAAGCTGGGGAATGGAGACCAGTCGGCCCCTCTGCCCCGCAGACCTCTGTAGGCAAAGGAAGTGAACGACAACCCACTCCAGGAAACCAGGGTGACAGCGTCTTTCCAGGGGACTTGCCACTCAGCCTCCTTCCCATCGGACGCAACCACCTCCTCGGTCACTCATGTCAGTACCCACCGTCCTGAATTGGCCTCCAGGCCGCTGACGCCGCGGGGAGGTAGGACTCGGAGGCGTCTGCCATGTACTGGCTGAGCTCGTAGCTGCTGGAGCTGAGGCCAGACTCCTGCTGCTGCAGGAGGTTGGACTCGCTGGTCAGCGGCGGCTGCAGGGTGAAGCCGATGGAAGCACACGGGAAGAATCAGAAGCAGTTTCAGAGAGAGGGTTCCCCCAAGTGTTCGCACAGAGCAACAAAATTCAAACTTTCAGATACATGCAGCGCATGGGGATGTGTTGCAAGGAAAAGAACGGATGATTCAGCTGACAGGTGTGTGCTAAAGAACAACGTGTAAGGCCCAGTGGAAAGAGCTCAGGTCCTGGGCCCAGGAGGGACCGGGAGGTCAGGAGTCAGATCCCAGCTTTGCCAATGCTGAGCTGCTATGACTTAGGAACGAGTGACTCTGAGGGGGGCACCCTCATCTGTAATACACATCATCACACCTGCCCTGCATAGTGCATGCACCAACTATTTAATGAGCACCTACTACGCTCCAGGCACTGTGCTTTCCCTGGGCTACGGGCGTACAGGAAACTCATGGAACTCATTACCTGGGAAGGGACGAATGAAACCCTGGATACAAGAGCTCTTTGCACACGGTCAAGTGCTGTACCCGTGTGCAGCCACTGCTGTTGTGTTGTCGTTACTACTGCTCAGGACGCTAGGTGCCCTGGCCTGCTGCGTGCTCGGTATACAGAAGGGACTGTTCCCCAAAATCGTACAGAGCCAATCAGGGGAACAAAACGTATACAAGACTGTCAAACATTAAGAGCTTATCTCTACAAGCCCTGGCTGGTGTAGCTCAGTGGATTGAGCTCGGGCTGCGAACCAAAGCATCACAGGTTTGATTCCCAGTCTGGGCACATGCCTGGGTTGCAGGCCACGGCCCCCAGCAACTGCACATTGATGTTTCTCTCTCTCTTTCTTTCTCCCTCCCTTCCCTCTCTAAAAATAAATAAATAAAATCTTTTCAAAAAGAGCTCATCTCTACAGCATCTTTGCATATTTTCCACAAATCTAAAATTTTTCCAAAATAAAAGTCTATTTAAAAAATGTTAAAAGACTTCCAGTGCATGTACGGCCCAGGCAGTATACGTAGTAAGATTTCAGGAGACAGAGAGGGTTTGCTAAAACGTCAAGAGAGGTTTCAAGCTCTGCTTTCCAGGCCTGTCCTTCAAAGATTCCAGCAGCTCCACCACTGCCTGGGCGAAGCAAGTAGCCAGTCCACCGGGGTCCTGGTGGCAGCCTCTTCTCCTCCCTCCCACCACCTCAGAGTGACTCAGGTGACAGTTCCTGACCTGGCCAGTTTGACAAAAATGCAAAAGGACCAGATCGGGGCCCCAGGCCCTTCAGATTGAAGTGGGAAGGTGAAAATGAAGAGGAATTCGGGGACACTCTGCCAGGTGGGGCGGTGCTGGAACCCCCACTGCACAGGCCCCCCACCCCCATGTCACTGCAGGCTACCTTATTCTTCTGGGCCCCAGGGAGCAGACTCTCTGGAAGGAAGTCCCCAGGCCTCTCCTGTCCAGAGTTAGAAGCAGGGCTGTCTTTATAAGCGTTCCCGCTCTGAGATCTGCAGCAAAATGACAGAGACAGGGCAGGGTTTCAGGGCAAGCCGGCAGAGGCTGTCCTGTGGCAAGGGGCGGACGGCGTCAGGCCGGCCTGGGTGCCACAGGGAGAAAGCACAGTCCTTCCATGCACCACAGCAGTCCATGAATGCCAGGACAATAGGGGCCCCTGGGCTCCCCAGGGCAGCGACAGAAACCGCCCCAAACACTGCAGAGTGGGGTTGGCCCCTGCAGCCTGGAACAGCATAAATCAGAGCAGTTGGGCGGGTGGGTTCCAGGCAAAGATGCCAGGCCTAAGGCCACCGGGACAGGCGCCTGAATCAAAGGCTGTCCCCATCCCCTGCTCACCTTACCCAAAGGATGACCCATCTCAGCACGCAGGAGTGGACAGAGGAGGAGCCTCCCGGCCCCAGCAGGACCCCATGGTGAGGACTCCCGCAAGGCCACATCTGTTCCGCGGCCCACCGAGCATGAAGTCCCTCCCCACTTCAGCACGGACCTCAAGTAGCAGAACCCAGACTGGCCCAGGCCTGGGAACCACGTCCCAGAGCTAAGAATCTCTCCGCCCAGGGTTCCTGCTAACAGCCGGTCTGGGCTACACCCGAGTCCCCAGGACAAACCCCCACACCGCACAGCAGAAGCAAACGGGCTTCCGGAGACGAGGGCTCGGCACCCGGTGCACCGGGTTCCCCGAACGCAGCCTGGAGGGGCTGGGCCACGTGCACCTGGCCTCTCCCACACACTCACCGGAACGGGGTCCCCGACGGGCTCCTCTGGTTTTCGCGGGGATGTTCATGGAGGTACTTTGGATCTCGATAATCTTCAGGCCTGATGTAAGGACTCGCTTGCCTCGGCACTGCACCCTCAGAGAAAAAAAAAACAACAACAACAAAAAACACAGAATAAAGCAAGTCACTTCTGGCTCCAGAACGTTCAGAAAGGCACCTGCAGGCTGTGGGGCTGAGTCCCTGGAGCACAGTAGCACGGACACGTATTTGCCAAACTGAATAAAATTGGTCAGTGAGCTAATGATGAACGTCCCCAAGAGGTATGGCTCCTTACAATGGTACGACTCGGGGTATTGTGTGTGTGTGTGTGTGTGTGTGTGTGTGTGTGTGTGCATTCTCAGTGTTGAAACAGACTTTCTCTCTGCTAGCATGCATTAGCACACACCTAAAACCTTAGTCTTGTGTAGGGCCCAGACTCCGAGTGGCGCCCGCCTGCACCCTCAGGGCACATGCCGGTCAGGCTCACCCCAGCCCAAGCACACACAGGATGACTTTACCGACACTTGGTCAGAGATGGTCATCTGCACCACGATGAGAAATAGAAGGAAAAAAATGTGGATAAAGTGCAAAGTATCCATAATATCAGCAACAGAATGATAGTTTCAGCACCATCCTCTACACGTACAAAGAAAAATGACTGCTTTCTGTCTCTTCTCAAGACACCAAGCACTAGTGTCTTTGCTGTGACCTTGTCTGCCCAAGAAAAAAGTGGGCAGGGGAGGGAGTTCTTTCTACCTCCGCAGAGCAGTGCATCCGACGGGGGTGGGGGGGTTCTGAGCGTGGCTCCCTTGGCCTCTGCCCTGCCCCAGAGGCTTCTGGGAGGTTATTCCATACCTCTTTCTTCTGGTTGCTGCTGCGGGTGCCCACGGTAGTAATAACTTCCATAAGCATATTCTTCCCTCAGAGCTGGAGGGTGGTAGCTCAGATACGGATCCTCAGCGCCCGGCCTAAAATGTCACAAAGAAGGCCAGCCATTCAAGGATGAGTGTGGCAAAGAGAAAAGCCAGTGGAAGATGACCCAGTAAACCACCCCGGAGGAGAGAATTGTGTCCTCAGTCTAGAATCCCTTTTAAAAGTCGCAGCTAATTCTAGATCCGGTAAACAGGAAATCCAGACTCAGAGCAGGACTGAGGTCTTGGTTTCGGAACCAGGCTGGGATTTTCACAGCAAAACCACAGCTATAGACTCCTTCTTCTCCACAATCCTCCTTGCTCTCCAAGTACACACATCCTACCACGCAGATAGTATCTTAGTGAACCCCTTCCTGAGACCACTGTGTGAGTATCCAACATGCCGCTGTAGGCCCCATGCATGTTACAGATGGAAGTGAGAGGAAAAACACTATTGGGACCATCTTAAACCCGATGGCTTTTACTGCCTCTGTCCTCAACGCACCTTCCTGTGAGGAGTCCACAACACAGAAAGACCAAGGAAAGGAACACCAGTTCTTAGTGTTTTTATCAGTTAGTAATTCTTTAGCACTTCACAGAGGCAAAATTCTTTAAAACAGTTGTCCTAAGTTCAACCCTGTGTAGGCAGGTAAATCTCACCCCACCTGGAAAAGCTCACGTGAACACGAAGAGCTCCCAGCATTCCCTAGGAGGTTAAGTGCAGAGCCATCAATGAGAACCCAGGAGAAGTCTACAGCCTCCAACCCAGAATGACCTCGCCGAGACCTCTTCCCTCTGAACTTGGAGCCTGCTAGCTTATATCTGCTTCCCCTGAGGTTAATTTCTTTTGCATTTTCATTCATTCATTCAACATCTATGTTTCCTGGATGCCCATCACACTCTCGGTGCTGTTCTAGCTATCAGGGCTCTTCTGGTTGCCGGGGGTGTGGTGCTGACCCCAGGTCGGAGTGGTCCACAGACGACGGGGAAGTTTTTACAGGGACCCCTAGGTCCCCTCTGCTCTCTTGAACTTCACCATTCTTTCATCCCTTCTGCCCTCTCCCCCACCCCCAACACCCAACCACGTGCATTCTGACAGCTTCCTTAGGAAGCTCCACTAGGCGATACAGAAGAAGGCAATACTATTTTCAGTCACCAAAATCCAACTTGGGAGAGAAAGGTGTTGAACTAAATCAATGTAGCAGGGAGGAGAGGGAAAAGGGGGGGAAGAGAAGGAAAAGGAGAAGGAAGAAGGAAAAGAGCAATGTGGCCACAAGCACAGAGGAGAGTTGGGTCTGTTCCAAGCACTGACACCGTACCGTGAGTACAGCTGATGGGGGTGGCCACTTTCATAATAGTCGCCCCCGGACAAAGGCCTGGGCACGTAGTGGGGCTGCTGGCGCTCTGCCCTGGGGTCCTTCTGCGGCTGGGGGCTCCTGCGGACATCTTGCCATTGACGGAACCTCTCTCCGTCGTGCCAAGCGTGAGGGGCAGCCCGATGATGCCCTTCTCGCCGAAGGCTGCAATCTGGACCCTGTGACTGGGCCAGGGGCCTCCCCCGGGGCTGCGGCGGCCACTGGGGCGCCCCAGGCTCCATCCCCGGCCTTCTGACCTTCTCCCTTGTTTACAGTCTGTTGTGTAGTTATTTCATCTCCCTGCAGACAAAACAACAACAACAACAACAACAAATTATCATTATTTCAGGTTTATATCCAAACATGATGGTTGATTGGGTTTTGTGGGGGGAAAAAGCAGGTATGGTCCTCAACATCCTCTGTCTAGAGCAAGCCAGATGGACACTGACACAGAAGTATCTGGGGGAAAAAATCTCAAACAGATACATGAAATAAATAACAGGCTAGACGACTATATCGATGTTGCCTTAAAAATGAAAAAGTGTAGTTAGTCGGAGCAGTAATAGATGTGGGAGAGCTGGGAGAGAGAACAGTACTAGACGAAGCTCCCAAACCCTATCACAGTGTTCCAATTAAAGAAACGGTCATTTATTCCGCCAGCAAATATTGATTTAACAGTTACTGTGGGGGCCCCACACTATCTCGGAAACAGGGCGGGCCTTAGACAGGGCTAGAGACCGCAGTTCAAATCCTAGCTCTCCCACTTACTAGCTAGTTCATTTTTTTAAGCCCCGGTGTCCTTATCCATGAAATGGGAATCCTAATGGCTCGCTTGCAGGGCTACTGTCAGAATCAGGATAATTCAGGGCGTGCCCAATCCCGGGCCTGGTCTGTGGCGATTGTTTCAATAAATAGCTGTGTTAGAGATAAAGAGCGGGGGGAGTGGGAGTAGCTGAAGGCACTTCCTCAACAAAAAGAAGCTCAAAATGACCTCAGGAGACATCTTTTCCAAACCCTTAAATTCACCTCTTAGCACCACGGCCAGGCCTGCTCCACTCCAGGGGGGCCGACAAGACCAGAGAGCCGTGTCCAGCGAGCCTCCCAGCTGCTGAGGATGTTAAAACCTGGAAGTCTCCCCAGAACCAAAATGACTTTCCCCACTTACTCTGCAAGACGGGAAACTGCCCGGGGGACAACAGCCTGCCCTCCCAGCGCCCTGGCCCTGGGCCGCAGCGCAGAACAGACCTGCCCCTGGCGCCTCCGCAGGGAGGCATGCGCCGTCCTCGCTCCCACCCCGGGAGCCCCCCATGTCAGGGAGCGCCTGAGCTCAGTCTCACCCTATGGTTTCTCTCCGCCGGGAGCTGTTTCCAGGTGAGAAATCCTGATGGAACCCAACTCACTTGCTCCCACTCCTGAAACTCCCAGCCGAAAGTAAAAATTCTTATCAGCACGAAAGGTCAAAGGGCGCGTGTTGAAATCAAGCTGTCACTCCGCCCCAGGGCCGTGGAGCCAGGGTCCACCGTTTGCTCTGAGCCGAGAGCCGAGCGCTGAGCAACCCGCACGGGAGGGCCTTCCTCCTCGAGACCAGTCCCGGCTCTGGGAAGCCAGCACCCTCTGCCCCGCGTCACCCACTTTCCTGAAGAAAGAAACAGGCTTTTCCCAGCAAATCCCAGCAAAGGCCAAATGCCACCACAGTGAAAGGGTGCGAGGGTCTTCCCTAAAGCCCACGGGACTCAACACCATGTGGAGACACGTGAGAAAGTCTCTTCGCCCCGTCCCCCCGACTTTCCCTGGACGGCCCGCCCCGAGTGCAACGGCACAGCACCCGGTCTCTTTGCCGAAATCCGGTCATTTCGTTTTCAAGGGACACCAGTTCCAGTCAGGTGGAGCTGTGTAAAGAAGGACACCCACCCCAAAGCACCCAGGATTTCCAGGATGAAGGCGTCACGTCCACAGTGACAAGCCACCACACCCGCATGGTCCCATGAAGGGCCCTCCCCGGCCCCCGTCCGGCGCTCTGGCCCTGCCCTGTCTGGCAGGAGGGCAAGCACGGGTGAGGGAGAGGAGACGAAGGAGCCCGCATTCCCACACACCTGCTCGGACAGACGCCCTTCCACCTGCCTTCCGCGCAGCCCCAGCAGCCTGGCCCTGGGGTGTCTCCTCTCCTCACGGAGGCTGTCAAAGTCCAGGTGCCACATCCACCAAGGCTCACCTGGCCCTCCCATCCACAGCCAGTCGGTTCCCTTTGCAACTGCCCGGCCTCCCCGTGGCTGACTCACCAGGGCAAAGTACGGCCCGGCCCCCGCGTGTGGGGTGCACCCGACTCGGAGGGTTTGCTTGGAACCTGGGCTCCTGTTTGCCCGGCCGGCCGTGGGCTGAGCGAGCTCTCCCACACGCGAGAGCGTCCAAACCCCCGCAGCACACAAAGAACAGAGGCACCAGGGACAGGAAACCCAGGAAGCCCGCAGGCAGCCTGGCCCGGCCAGGAACGCACTGCCTTTGGGCTGTTAACCCCTGGCTCTGCCGCTGGCTGGCTCCGCGACCTAACCTCTCCACGTCTGAGTTTCTCCTTCTCTGTACTGGGAGTAATAATACTTAGCTCCTGAGGGTGACTAGGGGGATGAAAGGCTGGTAAAACAGCACATATGTAAATAAGAATACTCTGCCTGGCTGGCGTAGTTCCGTGGACTGAGCGCGGGCTGCGAATCAAAGTGTCGCAGGTTTGATTCCCAGTCAGGGCACATGCCTGGGTTGCAGGCCATGACCCCAGCAACCGCACATTGATGTTTCTCTCTCTCTCTTTCTCCCTCCCTTCCCTCTCTAAAAATAAATAAATAAAATCTTTTAAAGTTTTTTTTTAAAAAGAATACTCTATAAATCAGTATTATCTTTCCTTTTAGAAAAGGTAAGGTATTTCTACTGGTCGAAGCACAGTCGTAAATACCGGCCCATCTGGTGTGGTGTTCCTCGTTCATGCTTCCCCCCATGGGGTCCTGGCTGCATACACAGTGTATCCTCTAAGGGAGGGCAAATTCAAACGCCCAACACTGAACTGAAGGCCCTGAAACACGTTCTGTTACAATAAGAAGATAATTTCTTGCAGTTGCAGAGTACATTTTTTTTTCAGCATTATTACGGTACACTTAGAGAAGTTCATGTTCACTTTTGAATTGATATTTTAAAACACAGAAAATCGTGTTATATACCATAAACGTACACAACGTTATAGGTCAGTTATATCTCAATAATTTGGAGGGTGGGAATAAAATTCAGAATTTGCTCTAAAAAGGCCCCAAGGGTGTATTCTTTCCTTCAACAAACACTTCACCTAGTCTCCATAAGATGCCCGGATTTGACACCGGACAACTTGAAGGACACAGTCCTTCCCTTCGACAAGCTGGGAGCAAGCCCACCTCCCAAGAGGTTCCTAGTGCAGGGACGGCCACCACAGTGGCTCTCAGGGTCGCCACGCTAATATGCCTGCACTCTCGGGTTCTGTCTCAGCGCCTGAACTGACCCCTTGGACCGGGCCATGGAGTGTAGAATTCTCTGACCGTGGACACGGCTCCTTACCCCGGTCATGGGTCCTGATGTCTGGCTCATTAATGGCTGCACCACCACCCTCCCGGGAAGAGTTTCTAGAGAAGGATGCACAGGACAGCGGAAACAGTATGGTCATGTAGACAACCAGTGATGGGTTCCAATGTATCACGATAATGTGCATGAGCACCTGACCCGATTCTTTTGGCTTATAACCCCATGTCAGTCCTGGCCCACAGCACCACCTGCATCACTGGAGCGTTAACTCCGGAGCCTCGCTGTATGGATGACAAAACTAAGGTCCAGAGAAGTGACATGACTTAACCGAGATCACCCAGCTAGCCAGAAGCCTTGACTCAACCCCAGCAAAGCCACCGCTTGGGGCCAGTCTTGGAGAGAGGGAGCCCCTGGCCTCGGCCAGCGATTGGCCTCCTAGGCTGCGACCCCTTCCTTCAGGTGAGCGGGGTGTCAGACAAAACGCACACAGCAGCGGGAGCCACTCGGCAGTCCAATTATCAGGAAGGACGGGTGCCAGGAAAACGCGGCCCGAGAGCCAGGGACCATTAGCCTGGCACGGGCACCAGGAGCTGCCGGCGCCCGCCCTGGAGCTGGCGCTCGCAGCACAAGCTCGGAGTGAAGTCATGGACCCAGCTCCAGCTTCCTTCAGGACCGAGGGATCCCACGTAGGAGCCCTGATGAAATCACTCCTTTAATGCCCCTACCTGGCTGCCTGCAAGCCTGCCCTCCCTGAACCTGCCTCCGCTGCCAAGACCTAGAGAAGCAATATGTCACTCAGGAAGAAGAATGGCTCCGTCCTTCCTTATCAGCCCTGGGCTGGCGGAGGTGGCCTTCCGTCCCCTCTCTCCACCCCTCCCACTTGACTGACGGCCCCTGGACCGGGACGAGTGGGGTGACGGATGGATGCTGCTGGGACTTCTGACCTCACCTCAAGCTCCGATGGGCACAAGTGGCTCAGCACCCACTGAATGGAATAAAGGGCTGTAATGTGCTTGGAGTGTCCTCCCAGCCCCCGAGGCCCGTGGGACGTACTCCCCAGAGGAGCCGTGGCACTTGGTGGCCCCGGAACGAGGCTGCCCGCGTGTGACTCTCAGCCCCATCCTCCGCTGGCTGCGTGAACTCGGGCGTGCTACTGTGGGTCGCCTTTGCTTCTTCTGTGCAAGGCGGGTAATAACAGAACCCACCTCACGGAGCTAGGAAGAGTATAGTTGGATCAAACACCTACAAAGTGTTTCGTGCCCATCAAATGCTTAATAAACGTTAGCTATTCTCCTCACCCTGGAAAGGCTATCAGGTGTGTAGGAAGTGCTCTGCACAATCATCAGAAAAGGATAAGCTGAGTCCCCACGATGCTGTGACATCCACACTTCTCCTTTACACTTAATCCAGTGTCCCCATAGAGCCACAAGACCAGGGGAACACAGAGAACCTATGCCACATGACTACACGGGAAAAAAGAATGGATTAAAGTGAAAACATCGGAATTAGAAACGTCAGTAAAGCACAGCCTAATGCTTCGCACACTCAAGTAGTCGTAGCCCCAGCGACGATGCAAGATGCACAGGAGAAGCACCAATGTTATCCCACGAGCAACTGCAAAATATGTTTTAATGTTAACAAACGTAAATATTCTACTACAGAATATTATGCAACAACATTCAGATTTGTGTTAATTTTTACCAAGAAGCATAAGATGTCAAAGAAATTTTGCACTTGCAATGAAACGGATAAACACACATTCAGACACACACACACCCTGCACCCCAGAAGTCCCTCCCTGCCGCTTGGTGGAAATGTGTGACAGACTCTTGAACAAGAGCGGACATCCAGACACGGGCCGATGAGCCGGAAAGAATCCGTCCCTGCAGGTGACGCGGCGGCTGAGCCGGGGAGACTCCGCCTGCGCCCGCATCGGCTCTTCCCTGGGCACACCCGCAGCGCCCCGAGCGCTCTACTGCCGGATACACATCCTCTCTGGATCTCCCGGTTCCCCGGCACAGAAGGTGCTTGTTCTCCAGGGAAGGCCGGTCTCGGGCTCTTTATAGAAGCAACACCCCAATATTGCAGAGTCAGACGCTCTTCCTGAGATAATGCAACGCACACGCGTGACTCTAACTCCCATGTGAACTCTCTGAATAGAGGACGGCGTGCCACTCAGCAGCTTTCTCCTCTCCAACTTCCACCGCCCCGTTTGTGCCTCCTTATAAAACGTCCTTCCCTCTGTCACTTTGGGGAGGAGCAGAGGCCTGGGGGGAAGGAAATAGATATTGGAACCCAGATACAGTTTTAACAGTGCCGCTTCCCAGCCATGTGCCTTTGGGGAAAAAAAAACCGCTCAATCTCCATGAACCCCAGTTCTCTTATCTTTAAAATTCAGTCTAGCCCTGGCCAGTGTGGCTCAGTTCTTTGGAGCATTGTCCTATAAACTAAAAGGTCATGGGTTCAATTCCCACTCAGGTCACATACCCTGGTTGTGAGGTCAATCCCTGGTAGGGACTCATGCAAGAAGTCAACCAATCGATGTTTCTCTCTCACATCGATGTTTCCCTCCCCCCACCCCTTTCCCCTGTCCTCTCTCTCTCTCTCTCTCTCTCTCCCTTTCTCCCTCCCTCTCTCTCTCTCTCTCTTCCTCTCTCTCTAAAGCAATAAAAAAATGTCCTTGGGTGAGGATAAAAAAAATGAAGTCTAAAAAGCAGCTAACAGAGCTGCGAAAATGAAATAATGCATGGAAACACACCGAAATGCCTGTTAAACAGGGGAGTGGGTCTCCAATACGTCTCTGTCTTTCACTGTCCCGGGTTCACATACTGCTCTGCTGGCTTCTCCTCTGCCCGCTGCTGCCCCATGCACAGAAACAGCCCATGCGTGTGCACAGCGTGAGTACACACACACATTTCCACCGCTCTGACAATCCTGTCCTCTCGGTCCGGACTGAGTGACTGCAGACAGAGTTTAGGTGCCCTGGAGTGCTGTTTTAATGCTGAATTTAACACATCAGGGCAATTTCCGTAGACGCCACGTATGATGCCAGAAAACAGAGTTCACGCTGCAGTTCCTGGAGGACAGGGAAAGACACGGCAAGTCGATGGAGAAGATTCCTCGCCGAGCATTCGTGCCTGCAGCCGTCGCCAGGGAGGTGGCCGAAGTTCATTATTTGGGGAGAGCATTCCATAAATGAATGTGATAGACTCTCTCCACGCTGAGCAAATATTTACTGCCTTTCCCGACATTGCTTCTGTGATGTAATTTCCATGCGAGCTCCCCAAGAATATCTCCTTTTCCACTAACACTTTCTCTGCTTCGTGATTTCACGACACTGGGTCATTCATGGAACAAACGATGTCACTGAATGAATCTGACGGGAGTACATAGCTTTACCTTGAAATTAAAAAAATCATCTTCCATTAAACAAATAATATTTTAGACAAATATTAATTCGTTATTCATTGTAATAAATATTTTCTCCTGCATCAGCTGACTCTTCAGAGTTTCTCTGCAGTGGCCAAGACATATGCTTCCAGAACTTAAGCTTGAACTATTAAGAAAGAAATTTGCTTTCTGTTGGGTTGACTGCGATCGAATGTCAGCCTGGAGGGGCGGCAGGCAGCCACCTGGCCCCCATTCGGTCATTCAATAATAGTGTATCGAATAGCTGGTGTGTTCCT